TTCAAATAATTTTTGAGCCCTTGAATATATGACTAGAGTATTCTGGGAAAACCCATCCAGCCCTATGAACCAAAAGCTATGGCCAAATGATGTTTGTTATCTTTGAACAGAGATAAATCTCCCCTAACACTGGAATTTTCCCCTCTAATTCCAATCCAGGGTAATACATTCCCAAGAGAAAGCACTTACCTTGAAACCTTTGCCTTGAGCAGATTTGTTCTCAGGCAGAGAGCCTCATGTCACCAGACACCACATAGAGACAGTCCGTTTATCCTGGGAGAGCCACTGCTTTCCCAGGAGAAACCAGGACTATACAGATGCTCAGGATTTTTCTCCCAGAGCAATACTGGCTACTCCAGGAAAAAAATAACCCAGAAATAACCAAGAATAAGTCACTTCTAAGAAAGGTTCTCTTAGAAGAGTAAATTGTACAGACATTTGCTTTCTTAAGAGGAGCCACAGCATAGTTCTCCATAAGGTACTTTGCTCCTTCCACTACCACTCCCCAGGGAAACAGTATGTTGCTTAGGCTGTACTCTACCACTGTAGCCAAGCAGGGAATGGAACAGAGTCCCTTCACAATGCCATGTTGCTGAATGGAGAGACAGGCTGACTCTGAGCAGTTTAGGTCAGTCAATCATCATGTATAAGACTGAGTGTATCTGCCGAGTACCTGAGATGCCTGCGCTGGACCCTGCTGGTGGTGCAGTGTCAGCACTGCAAACTCTCTGCTGTTCTGGGGCTCAGCACTCAAATGTCTGTTCAGGTGTCTCCTGACATTTTTTCCTACCAGGGTAACACACCCTGGAGAATTTTCCCAGGGCATTTGAATGTGTGTATGCAACCAAAGATGGACATTTTAAAAAAGAATCTTCAACTGCATATTTATAATATACTAAATCTCTGAAAAACTTAAAACTTTGTGACAATTTAATTGTGGTTGATATGCTTACCTAATTTTAGAAAATACTAAAAGCGTTTTAGAGATCCAAAGTGCCACTCTACAGAATCCACTTGATGGACATAACTCTTAAAATGTAAAATGAAGTCAATGAGATCTTTCAAGCAACTTTCTGGGGGATAGGTCACACCTTCAGAATACAGTGGACAGAAAAGGAAAAAGCTTAAAAAAGAAAAAGAGAAGTTCTGAACCACATGGCAGAGTGCATAAGCCATAAGAAGGAAGGTCTGTGCAGTAAACTACAAGCCAGAAAATTTACATCCATCACCAGCTAAAACATTTGGAAAGTTTACAGCATTAAAAGAATATTGTGAATTAAGCAACATATGATTAAATGATAATTTTCCCAAAAGAGAAATGGTAATAAGGGTGCTATTTGTGATATGCATACATTATAACCTGGAACACAAGTGAAGAACAAAGTGATTTTGGCAAACTAAAATTATTATAAAGTTTAAAGAAGAAGAAGAAGAAAGATTACATTGCATGCTGTATAGGGCAAATTATGCCTTCATATCTGTTTGTTAATACCTAGCATATTGGGGCTTCTAGCTACCTAAAGTATAATAATAAAAACTACTGAAGTATACAGCTTAATACTGATTGGATGAAACTCTTAATTCTTTCCACCACAAAGAGCAAATATGAAAGGTTAGCAAAACTCAATTTGTATATATGTTAAACATTAAATGCATAACATCTAGATTTTCTTTTCAAATACTAGATTTTACAAAGCAAGGGAAATGTTGGCATTTGTCCCATCAGAATGGGAGGAGAATGCTTGAAATGATGATTTCCATTTATCTAGATATAAATGATTGCACATTTATATGTACCTACACAAAATAATTACTGGAGTTTTATTTCAGCTGATGGCCTCTGTAGCTCATGCCTCATCCTTTGGCTGCTCCCTCAATTAACAGAAGCTGCATGTGCATAAATAATAAGTTAAGGTAATAAGGAATCAGAGCCTATATTAATTTTTGTTTGATAAGAAAATGTTTTTAAAGATACAGTACCAGACATGTTATTAGATTAGGGGGAAAAGAAGGAAAGATAAAGGAACCGTAACAGCAAGAAAAAGGAGAAGACACATGCATATAACTCATTTTTTATCATATCACTAGTTCTTACTGTGCAACAGGATGTAGTGTCATGGAAGACAGAACTCTATCCTTCCTACTAATACAATCCTACCCTTTCTACTACCATATTTACTGGATTGCAAGACAAAGTTTTTCCCTCCATTTAACAAGCCCCTTGTCTTGGAAGTGAGTATGAGGTGGTATGGGGGAAACAATCAGCTGCTGTGGCTGTGGCCCTGACCTCTGCCCTTGCTGCCCGCCCTGCTCCACCTGCCTTCCCACTTCTTCCCCCTCATTGCACCCTCTCTGCTGTTTACCCTCGCCCCACTCTGGCAGGTTCCATCCCTACTCCAATCTGAGTATCCTCCAAGCCAAGTGCAAAAAAGGAGAAGGAGAAGGAGAAGCAGCAGCAGCAACTTGGGGGCGGGGAGCAGGGAAGAGGCAACAGGGAGCCCAAGGCTATGAGGGAGGGGATTCATGGGGGCAGAGGCAGCTGGGGAGAAAGCTGGCAGGAGACAGGAGGACAAAGGCAGTTGGGGGGGAAAGGGGACAGGGTGTGGGAAGCAATGGGAAGGAGTCAAACTGCTTGACCCTTTCCCCACTGCCTGCCTCCCCCAACCACCTACCAACTGCTCCCCTGCACATGAAAAATTATAAGTAATTTATAAACCTTCCATGTATAGAATCTAAATACGGGGGGCCATCTTGGATTCAGGTAAATGCTGTCATTTTCAAAAGAAGATTAGATGGTTAGAAAATGCAAGGGAGAAGTGATAAGAACAACAAAGAACCTGTAAAAGCATGAAGTAAGTTGGAGCATGAGTGAGACTACAAAGCCTGTGGTGGGGAAGATTCAGAGTGGAAGAATGATGGGGCAGGTCAACAGCATCTCAAGGAATCATTTACTATAATTAAATAACTACTCTCTTCTGTGCTAGTGTGCATCCTACTGTAGGAGACTGACAAGCTGTGTTCCTCTGGACGACGGCAGTGAAGAGTTTCAGTTGCATCAGTTAAACTGTAATTGAAATACTGCTCTTTCAAATCTAGGGTCTTATCTGGTGACTATTACGTGAATCACATTAACAAAAAATAAGTGGGCGAATCCACTTGCTGCCCTACAGATCTCCAAGAGTGGCATGTTTCTGAAATAAGCAAAGGAGCTTTCTGTGCTTTGGTTAAGAGTGCTCTGATATTTGAAAAGAAAGGTTTGCCATCCATTTCATAAGACAGGGATATGCACTTAGACGTACTTTAGCAAAGACAACTTCTCAATAAACTGGATATAGCCATAAAGAAGAAGGGAAAACATTTTTAAAGTTCTATTACCTTTACAGGATCAAAGATCTAAACATGAAAGAATGCAACAACCTCTCCCCTAACATGACATGCAAGGCAATAGCAAGGTTTAAGTGGAACTCCAAGATCATATTGGAAATGAACGTGAAGGAGCAGTTTCAACACTATTTTCTTAATACAGGGATGCAGCTTTTACTCTAGCCATGCAAACTGTGAGCTAAATGACTCTTTTTGCTGAGATGTTCAATATAAGAAAGACAGTCTCCATAGTAATTTGGTACAGTGAGTATGCTAAAAGGGGTTAAATAGGCTAATGAGCTTGAAAGGAGGATGTTGAGATTGGTTATGAAAGCTCAGTCTCTGACCAAAGGACACAAATGAACACAACCTTTAGGAATTTTGATACCATGGGTTATGTTAAAAATGTGTGATTTTATCAGACTATGATCTGTTGATAGGTTTGTAAGGTGAACCTTGAGAGTGTTAAATACTAGTTCAACATCCTCAGGGCTAGCATGTAGGTCAAGCCTGACAAAAAGGCCCTGAAGTATTTTAATGACATCCAGTGCTGAGAAGACCATTTTGGCAGGGATAAAAGGTATTGGTACTACTCTCTCTCATTGCTTCCTCATGTATGCCCAACTGATAGCAGAGTAGTCTTTGTTCTCCTTTAGTTCACAGAGGGGGTTGCAACTGATGGAGGTAATGTTAGAGAATGGTCTGATGGCACAGGAATTTGGCCACTCTGCCCCAACCCTCAATCAGGGCAGGTATAATTGGGCTTACTTTTGGAGGACTATGGTGTCTGTCTTCTGTATTTGGAGCAGCTACTCTTTTTGCTGGAATTCCAGAAGTTGGAGCATTAGCCCCATATCTCATGGCTTGTATGTTCTCATGGAGAAACATAAGAAACTGAGAACCTGCTTGGTGTGTAAGAGTACCTGCTGTGTCCATCTTGCAGGTGGATTCATCTACTGCAGAAAAATGAAGCCCAACACCCAAAGGTTTCAGTTCTACCATGATAAATTTTTTATTGGGATTCTATAATGGGATATGACTTGAGGGGAAGAGGGGATATGACTGAAAAGAATTCAACTCAGACAGATGGAAACAAGTTACTGCAGCTGATGGAAAGATTATGCACAATTCTGAAGGTTTTTGAAAGATATGGAGAAGTTTAATTTCAACAAAGAAAAAGCACAGGGTACACACATGGCTCCAGCAGGTACTAATAACAAACAAAAGTGCCAGTCTTCCCCATATATACCCAGAGCAGGTTCCAGGGTCCTGACACACGAAGAAGAATCTTATCAACATAAGAAGTCTCTTATCACAAAAGGACACTGTGCTTCCATTAGTTAAAATATAAATAAAATGATTTTGCGATTTGAAAAGTGACTTTGTTTTCACATAAGAAAAAATAGATTCCTTCTCATCTTACGCTCAGAGTTTAAGAGAGCTTGAGGAAAGCAGCTGAACAGCTTGTTAACAAAATCGCATTTAAGAACAGCATTGCTGTAAAATTTAACTGGTGAAATCAATCATTTATTCTGCCTTTCCTCCAAACACATCAAGATAATAAAAAAAAAAAGAGCTGCTACAGTTTCATTCCCTATGTAACACTAGATAAGGAGGCTTCTTTACACATTACTTACCTGTTTTCATTTCTAACAAACGCTTCTTCTTTTGTTGCCTCTCTAGTTTTTCTTTTTCTGCTTTCTCCTTAGCTATTCTAGCACGTCTCTGTTTTTCCTCTGTTTCTCGTCTTCTCATATTCTCCTTTACTGTTTGCTGTTAAGAAAAGAGAGGAAACCATTACGTCCCATTACAATTAAAACAAAGTCTTTGGTTAAAACAAGTTTATAAACTATCAAAATGAAAAACACACAAGTTATACCAGTAGTCAAAAATCTGTTTCTTAAAGGTTACTTCAGCTGTCTAAAATGTCTTTAATGTATTAACCCGCATATAATCTGGAGATGCTGTATTTTCCATATCTTGTATATTTTATTCTTGCACTTGTAAGTAATTTAGGGTAAAATGCATAACAAGAATATTAGTATACCTCAAATCAGCACAATAAATCTAAAACTTAAATGAAACATTTCAAAGAATTCCAAATGAGTTAATGTATGGAGAAATAATATAACAGCCAATTTAATGCTGCCCAAAACAAAACTGTGAAGTCATGCCAAATGTATTTTAACAGTTGTGGTTTCAAAACAGATTAAGGATCCTCATACTGTCACCACAAAAAAAGAAAGGTTATTTTGGGTAGTTTAACCATATATTTCCATTTGGATTTTTTATTTTTTAATTCAACCGTGACCCAATTTTCCTGGATTTATAAATATTTATTTTGGTGGTAATTTCATCATCCCTATAATATTGTTTAGCCTGAATTACAATTAAGCACTCTCAAATTAACTACATTTCAGTTTAGATTTAGCAATCTGTGGACTAGTGGGTTTTTTTAATTATTGAAATTTGCATACACAGACATTAAACAAGGAACTGAAGAGACTGCAACTGCCTTTGTCACAAGCTTCTTCATTCCTTTTCCTGCAGCTCCCTGCCTCATTTCCTAAATATTTTCTCACTTGTGCAATGATTAAGGCTTCTATCCTACAAACAACAACCTTTTGATTAACCCGTAGGGCATGTCCATCCTGTTCACTAAGGTTACATGAAGACATTACACTTAAGATTGACCTAACTAGATTTAGGTCAAACTAAGTGCCAAACTGTACATACGTTCAGGGAGTTTAGATCCATTAAGAAATGGGTGACCCACTCTAACTGAACGTATGTACACGTTTAGAGCACAGGCCCAGGGCTGGGAAACCCGAGCGATCCAACCCATTCTTGGAGCTGTGCTTTTTCTACCCTGCCCATGCTAACTGAGCTATTTTTAAACTCTTGGAGCTTTCCCCAACCGCCAGATCCACCACCCCTCTCCAGCCCCATGAACTCCCCCTCCCCACAAACCTACTACCCACCTCCATTCTGCTCACCTTCCCCACAACTATGACTTACTTAGATAGTGTTCCTGGTGTGGCTCTTGGTACTGGTGAATGTGTGCACTAATGGGCACCTGACCTATGATCATGTGGCTTAAAGCAAGCTGCATAATTGTAGATTGGGTCCCAGGAATGTCTGCACATGCCCTCAGTGTAGGGTGTTGGAGATAAAACAGTATGAGACCACATATTTATAGATGTATTGTAATACATCCACACACTACAGGAACAACCTAGCATTTTCAGCCTGCTATTTTGAGTGTTTGACCATGCAACCATAGTAATGTTCTTTTTAAGTAGATTTTTTCCCTTCCTTCTTTTTGGGGTATGCAATTATCCAGTGGGCATTTCTTAAAACATACACTGAAACAGATAAATGACACAGCCGCATCTACTTCATGTAATTCTGATGTAGTTCACTGTGGGCCAAATGTTGCCCCAGCAATCTCAGTTCTCTGCCTCACACAGCCCTTTTGTCATATGTGTATGCTCCTTCCCCCTATCCTAATTTCGCTCTCACATAAATGACTAATTCCAGTCTCTGTCTCTTCTTCCCCATCCTGGTCTCCAATTCCAGACAATGCGTTTTCTTGATCAAGGAATCCCCTTCCATTTCCACCTTCTCTTTCCGCCTTTCAAATTGGCATGTGTGCTCAACAAACAACTGGCTCAGGCTTTATCTCTTTTCTTCATCCCTCCTAGTTTATTTTCCTTTCCTCTCTTGTCCAGTCTCTTCAGAGTTCTTGTCCCAATATACTCCTTTCCTTCTACAGTGGTGAAGATTTTATCCCCTTCTGTATTTGTTCTGCCTTTATATTGCTTAAGTACCACACAAAAGACTAGGAAACAGATCTAACAAGGGATTTGGTGTGGTGATGTTTAGTCATTAAACCTAAGATTTATGCATCTGTCTCGGAGAAGTATTCAGAACTCTGGATTAGGCACTGAGGCTCCCCATACAATGCATGGGAGAAATTGAGCACCTAATATTGTGGTTGCATTTTTGAAATGCTATCAATACCACCTGACAAATAACTGAGATTTTCTTTTGTTTTTAATGAAAGGAGATATAGTTTCTTGCAATCTAAAAGACATGAATGCACCATATTAAATTAAGTCATACTCTAGTGCATTCACTAGAACGGATTGCTGCGTTTTAACTTCTGAATGAACATTTACAGAGAGTAAGCTCAAGCCCCATAACTTGTGATAAGGCTATTGACAGGGAACGCAAGCTATTTTCCTATGATTTTAAAAATGGAGACATTCTAAATAAACTAATATAATAATGATGGTGTTATGTTACAGTTGCTGTTAGTGTAATAGTTTCTATAAGCTTTAAAGGGATGTTATATGCACCTGAACTAGGAAGTTATGGGCATTTTCTACACATCTTTTTTCCCCTCACAATGCACCAGAGATCTGCTGCTCCGCTGATGTGAACTGTGCTGTGCTGCACGCAGTTGTATAAGCAGCGAAATGCACATCAGCACGCAGAGAATGGCGCCAGTGTGCTTTTGAACTAAAACACCTTCTCTATGTTTTAATTCAAAAGTGCACTGCTGGCATTTTCTCAGCACTGATGTGCATTTCACCACTTACACAACTGTAAATGATGCAGTGCCAGATGCTTTTCAAAGTGCCCAGCGCATAAGCACTTACATATGTAAAAATGCCCAGTGAGCCTTAATGTTTCTAAAAGTGCATTAGGTTCCTTGGCTGACACAACAAAGACTATCTATTAGCAAGAGTTATACAAACTTACCAGCATCCATGAGGTCAGCTACTGAGAACAGAAAACTCAAAAAGAGTTTTGGGTGTCTTTCAGGGCAACTTCAGTTGCATGCTTTTAGGCTTGGAACACAGGATGTAAGTAGGGCATACTATTTATTGCTGGTGTACAGACATTCCCAAAATCTCTTATTTGTCATAAACAGTGACGTAGGACATTGTGTAATGTACAATTATATAATCAATACAGTGCCTTGCAATCACTGTGTACAATGTTATGTCTAGTAGGCCTAGTCAAATGATATGTTGGGCAAGTTAACAAAATCAACCATTCTGAAATGCTAATCATCCTGAAATGTACTGGATCGATTTTGCTATAATAAAGTATATGGCACATCAATGGCAATTTTGCTGAACACACCTTACACGTCATAAAGCAAAAGTGAGCAAATCAACTGGCAAGGACTGTTTTTTCAACTTCCATTCTGATGCTGAAAATAAAGAAGTCCAGAGCAAATTGATCTTGTCTGTTAAATAATCAGACACTCTCTCACAGCCACTGTAACTAAGTCAAAAGAGATCAAATTTATCAGGTTTTTTCTACAAAATACAACAGTGGCACTGGTCTATATTTCACAGATGTTATTCCTGAGCCGAGAACTCCACTTTCACCAAGGATTCTACTAACAGCAAAAACATTTAGGACCCTTACTGAGGCTCAAAGCAAGTCTCTTTTCACTGCTTGTAAGCTTTCTTCCCTGCCGATTTTATTAAGTTCAAAATATTTTTTTTCCTCATTGCATACAAGAAATGATTACCGGGATAACATTATCAAAAGTAAAAGTTACTAGGTCTGGAATGTCCAAAAGCTCCGAAGTTATTCTATCAGCTTATGTAAAATGATAAGGGTCAGAAGACCTTCTCTTTGAGGATCTCAAATCACTTAAATACATTAGACTTAAAATATTCTTATTAGGCATTTCAGACATGGAAAAGCTGAGGCACCACAAGGTTATCAAAAGAGTTCAAGACAACAGAAAGAATTAACAGCATAACTATAAATACAACCCAAAACACTCTTAGCTTCTACTCATACACTTAATTTCCACTCTGAAGACAATGTTCTTCTCCTTCTTACATATAAGAAATGACAGTAGGGATGCTTTCAAAAACATAAGTTATTGGAAATTTGGAAAACACTAGTGTTACTATATCATTATGTGAAATGATGACAAAGAAACAAAATTATGTAGACAGAGAAATCTATACTGTAAAAACTATATTTAATGATTACTTAAGCCACCAGTGTGATGCAGTCATGCAAAAAGGTAAATGCAATCTTAGAATGTATCTAGAGAGTTATTTCCAATAAAGATAGGGAAGTATTAATGTCACCGTAAAAGACACTGTACAATCATCTGTACAAGGCACTGGTAAAACATCATCTGTAATAAAGCGTAAAATTCTGGTCACCCACATTCAAGGAAGATGAACTCAAACTGGAAAAGGTGCTGAGAAAGGCTATGAGGATAATCAGGAAATAGAGAGTCCATATTATAAGAAAAGAGAAGGAAAGCTTGGGCTTTTCAGTCCTGCAAAACAAAAGGCCAAGATGGGATACAATTGCTGTTCATAAATACATCAGGGATGAAAACCCCAGGGAGAAAGAAATGCTGTTCAAGTGAAAATGTTGGCACAAAAACATATCTGTATAAACTCACTAAGAATAAATTTTGTCTGATATTAAAAGAAGGTTCCTAAACCACTAGAACATGCAGGTTCTAAAAGGGAAAAAAAAAAAACACATAACAAACAAATAAAAAAAACTCTATTGATCAAAGTAGAGAGGCCACAAAAACTGTCAGACAAAACTTAATAAGGTTAAAAAACAGATACTAAGGTCTCTGAGACCCATTACCCAGACATGATTAACAAGGTAATCATTCCTTAAACAGAAACCAGGCACATGTGGAACGCAGTAAGGTGTGACAATGCATCATGCATTAAACTGAATATATGGCTGGGACCTGTCAAAACTCT